GACTTTTGCCGACGACGTCTTAGCGCCGGAGGCAGAAGCCTGCTGAGTTGGCGCAGTCGACGCTAGTGCGCCCAACTGGGCGCGCAGCAACGCGGACTTTGGGTCTGCAGGAGCACGGGCGGCGACGACCGGCGACTTTGGGACACTGGCAGATGGGGCGTCGACAGCAGCGGGGGGCTGTTGAACAGCCTTGTGGCCGGCTAGGCGCCTGACTTGCTCCTTGAGCGCGTCCGCAACTGCCGCCCCTTTCCCCGCGCGGCCAGCCTTGTTGGCAGCCGGGACGTCGGCAGGTCGCCCGGCAGACGGTCCGGTCGGAGGGCGTGCACCAGCTGGGGGCTGGTGAGGAACCGCTGACGCCACCGCGACCCCTGTCTTCGGGCCCTGGCCAGCTGGGGCCGTTTTTGCGGCCGCCTTCTCCTTGTCGCGCAGCCCTTCTTCACCGCTACCCTGTCGTGGTGGCTTATCGGCGACCGAAGGCGGAGCCCTTGGCAGTGCGTCATCAATTGCATGCTCGTCGGCGGGACCCCCACCACCCTGATCAGTGCTGGCCGCTCGAACCCCAGCCCAGTGCTTCTTGAGCATGTCGAGCACGCTCTTCCCCGACTGCTTCCCCGAACTGCCTTCCCCGGCTCCCTTGCTCCCATCGCCGGCGACGCGAGAACCAACCGCTCCCTTGGTCTGCCTCGCGCTCGCCGAATCGTCTCCATCCCCTTCTCCGGCCTTCTTGCTACCGTCGCCGGCGACGCAAGAACCCCCCGCTCCCTTGCTCCGCTTCGTGCTCCCCGCGTCGTCTCCGTCGCCCCCCCCGCCGCCTGCCCCCCTCTTCAGACCCTGCTTCGTGGCCTCCATAGGTTGCGCATGGCCGGCGTCGTTGGCCGACGGCGACGACCCACGCCGAGCTTGGGTCGCCACAGTGCCGACCATCTCGGTCATTATCTTCAAACCGGAGGCGAGGAAAGACTGCTGCGTGACCTCCGTCACCGCCTTCAGCAGATCCTCCTTGAATGAATTCAGGAACTCTTCCGGCAAGGCCTGCGCTGGGGTGGTCGGCGGCGGCGGCTGCACGACGAGGCGGGGAGACACGGCGGCTGCAATGTTGGTCTGCGCGGCGCCGATGTATTTTATGAACGTCTCCTCCAAAGCCTTCCTCGCCTCACCCACCTCACCCGTCACGTGGTCGGCCAATTGGTCCACCGCGGTCGCTCGAGCGACCGCCATTCGTCCGTTGGGGGCGTCAATATCCAGCAGCATCTGCCTCGCTAGCTCGGCAAACCTCTTGCCCGATTCAACTGCGTTCTCCAGGTTGCTGGTGAGGTCCTCGGTGATTGTGGCCGCCATGGTCGACGTGGCCTCTTTGAGGCGCTCCACCGATTTCCGGTCGGTGTCCGCAACCTGGGCGGTCAATGCCGTGAGCTTGTCGAGGATCCCAGCTACCGCCGCCGCCAAGCAGTCGACCCGCCCCGCCTGATCACCGAGCTGCCGTTGCAAGCGTGCATTGTCGGCACGCAATTGTCGGTTCTCCGCACGCAGCTGCTCGACGACGTCCGGCATCGCCTGCCGACCAACTGCGGTGGAACTTGGATGACCGCTCACCGCCTTCTTTTTCCTGGACCGCTCCCCCCCGGCCTTCTCTGCGGTAGCATCGGTATGCATTTCCACGCCCGTCTGCTTCGTCGCCGCGGCGAAATCCCCATCTTCGTCGGCCTCGAGGTCGACAACTTCCTTCCCTTCGCCGACAACGACCATCCCACTCCCCCCGTGAGCCGCCTCCTCGCCGACCTCCTTGCTGGGTTCCGCTGTCGCCCCCTTCCCCTCTCCTTCGATTTCCGCCGATCTCCCACCCGTTTCCGCCGCTCCTTCTGCAACGTTCCCCTCCGCCATTTCCACGTCCACCTCTTCGTCATGCTGCTCCTCTTGCTGCTCGTGGTGCTGCCTCTCGTGCTCCTGCTTCTTCTGCTCCTGCTGCTCCTGCTCCTCCACCGACTCCGACACCGACTCCGACTCCGACTCCTCCGAGCCCCCCTCATCCTCACGATCCGCCTCACGACCCTGGACCCCATCATCATCCCCACGAACAACCTCGTCCCTATGCTTCTCCTCGGTCCCGGCCACCCCATGTCCTGCTGCCGCATCGGCCTCGTCGACGCCGCTACCCGGCTTCCCGACCGAGGTGCCACGCGCATCAGCGACGGCAGGGGCGACACCGCCAGCTTGGGGCGCCGACTGAACCTCCTCGCCGTCGTCGTCACAGACGTCGGCCGCAACTACGTTTCGGCCCGACCGTATGAGCGCGACCTGCTTCTTGATGAAGGCTACCATCTCAGTCCGCAGCCCCTTCAACCCCGCAACAGCGACCTTGTCCATGCTGGTGGCACTGCGACGGAGGGCGCCGGCCAACCGATCCTTCCGCCTCACCGCCCAGAGCAACGCGCTCATTGCTAGCAGGCCGGAGCCCGCGTCCCCGTCCCGGACGGTGTCGGGCACTTTCTGCACACAACACAGGAGAGCGCTGATATGAGCACCGAGATCGGCAGTCGCATCTCGCAAGGACGAACGGCAGTTGCATCGCGCAAGGAATTGACACCAAACGTACGAAACTCACATCTCGAAGGGGTTCGTCGCAGTCGGCGAGCCTCGCATGCACCTCCTCCTCGGACGGCTTCGCCCAGTCCCATTTCCTACCTTCGCGCCGAAGCTCGGCCATTACAGCCGCCCGGAAAAACCTGCAAAGCATGGCACAGACGGTCAGTTAGCACGGTGCACGCTAAGCATTGACAACGCAAGCGGCGTCGACTACACTATTGAGCTCACTCCAGCACGCGTTTCGCCTCTTTGATGTGCCACTCCTTCACAGTCTGCGGGTCGGCGTGCCGGATCGAGGTCCTGATCAACTGGCCCGATGCCTTCAACAAGTCGCCGGGGCACAGGATGATAATGACGCTGCAATGTGTTCCCGGAAGCGGTGCGATGCTGCACAGACAATGGACGTCGACATAGATCAGAACACATAATCGACGCAGGTTGCACCACACGCGCGACGACCCCGAACACCCTCACCTCGATATCAGTGGGATAACCGCCACGTCGGCGTCAAAAACCTTCGCGAAGACGGTATGGTCGTTCTGACCCATCGCCGCCCTAAGACGGCCGACTCCTATCGACCACAGCCGCTGGTCCTCCTCCGTTCCGCGCAACCATGCGTGCCTGCACGCATGCATGATCAGGAGGAGTGCGTGAGGATGTGGTCGGGACGCCGGCAGATACTACGGTTGCGGCAATAACACGACGGGTCGGGGATTCGACGAGAGCCGAATGAATATGGCACAACGCATCGCCTACGCCGACCAGACACCTTACGTCGGCGCCACCGATGTGATCGACATCCCTAATCCCTAACCCATGAGTCCGTCGACCTAAAAGACGGGTATTATGAAACCACGCTAGGGCTATCACCAGCATGAAATAACGACGCCGACATCCCCATACGTCACTCACTTGAGGCCGAGTCCCAAGCAACGGGCGTTAAACTCTAGCATAGGGTTTGTCAGAACGGCGTAGTCGTGTTCCTCGAACTTGGATGTGAGTCCTCTACCGACGCTTAGATACAGGGGGAAGTCGCGCGAGGTCGGCGTCGCTTCGTCGGCTTTCTGGTCGGCCGCCATGGCGGGAGAGCGAGGATGCTATGCTACGGGCTAAGGGAAGAAACGGTGGGAGAATGGAAGGCGCAGAGCTGGGAAAGAACATGAAAGAGAAACGAGAACGCGAAAATGAAGGGCCAGGCCACCTCCGACGAGGAAAAGCCAGGCGGAGCCTCGCAGGCCCGGTTGAGCGTCGCCCAGGGGGCCGTGGTCCCTGGCTCGGCAGGGCTCGTGCACGGGTGGCGTGGCACAAGTGCACCCTCGCCGCCGAGCCAGCAGGTCGACGTCACGTCCCCTGGCCTCGGTCGGCCAGGGGACGCAAATTCGCATGCACGCGGTGCGACGTTTCGGCACCACGTGTCGATTTCGCAGCGGGTCGCGAAAAACGTTCGCCTTGGTGCGAGCGACCCAGGGGTTCGCTCGATTTTCGGCGGGTACGAAATGTCGCATGCATAGAAAAAACGATGCGAAACGACGGGCGGGCACGTGGCGTCAACGCAACGGGTCGCGAAATCGCCGATCGTCCCGAGGGGAGCCCCCGAATTTCGCACGGGCCTCGCCTGCCCGTACGGGCAGGCCGCGATGGGTTACTAGGACCTCGCGGGCAGGAGGGACGGGTGGGCTGCCTTCGCGCCGGGGTTACTTTCCCTCGCGCGAGGTCTCGCCAGCTCGCCGCCCCCACCCGGTAACGTGGGTCGCTGTTCACTTCCGGGGGGGGTTTTGCGGGGCGGCGGTCGTGCGCTCGGCCCGGCCCCGGGCCAGGCTGGCGGGCCCGCACGCGCGTCAGTCGCCCGCCTCGTCGGGCCCCCTTCCGTCGACCCCCCTCGTCGACCCTGGCAATTCGGCTCCGTCGACCGAATTCCGCTGGGGTCTTCAGCCCATCCCGTCCATTTGGATGGATCCATCCTTGATCCATGATCCATCCTTCCAGCTTATCCTGACAGAGCCAGCAGCTTAGAAAGGCCCGCATTAGCGAACGCGTTACGTGTTACAAGAGGATCCGTTAACAGGTTACTCGATATAATAATCATGATGGCTTCTACGGGACCGCGTACGCGGACAGGAGCCTCTGGTCCTGCGCAAGGCTCGATGTCAGCATCTCCCTCCTCCGGCTCTATCCAGTCACTATCGCAGGATCCGTCACGCGGTAATAACAACCGCGTTATAATGCTCATCGCAGCCTTACCGTTAGGCCTGGCCGCCTTCGCTTTTATCCTCCACTGGCAGGGTGATTTCGATATGTTAGACGACGGGCAGCCGCGGCTGCCTGGATGGCATCAGGTGGACTCTAGGAAAACGGACAAAAGCTTGGCGACGCCATCAGATGTACCGTGCGATACAACGAAGAGCTTTAAACCGGGGATGTACCCGAATCCGTCGATTAAAGTGCTCGGAAATCTGCAGGATAGTCCGAAGCTACTAATAACCACGACCACGTCGGGCGGCGCGCAGCAGATTCTGCCGTGGATTATGTACCACCGCGCGATCGGCGTGCACTACTTCATACTCTTCGTGGAAGGAAAGGCGGCTTCGCCGGAAAACGTGGCGATATTTGAGTCCATGGAGGTCAATTCTCACCCACCCACCCTCCTCTCCCCCCCCCCCCCCTCCTCCCCCTTTTCTCTCTCTTTCCCCGCCACTCTTGGTCCTCCTCGTTCCTCACCTCGCCGCTCAATCTACCCCTTCTCACTCTACACCCACTTGGAAGAAGTTACTGGAAAGTTGGGTAATTCTTTGCCATTTTTTTCTGATTGCTCCACCCTCCTCGTTCGTTGCTTCCCTCTTCCCCCTCGTTCCCCCCTCCCCTCCTCTCCCCTCCCCCTCCTCTCCCCTCCCCCTCCTCTCCCCTCCCCCTCCCCTCCCCTCCCCCCTCCGCACTCTCCCACCCCCCCCGCTCCTCATCCCTCGTGCTTCATATCTCGTAGTCATATCTTATCGCTCCATCCGCCTCGCTCGTATCTTCTTCTTTCTCGTTTTGAGGCACCTCAAAACTAGACGCCTCGCTCGTATCTTCTTCTTTCTCCTCATGGGCTTTCCGAGGGGCGTGGGTACATCCGCATACTGCCCTTATTCCCTTCTCACCACTCTTGTCCTTACCTTTCCTCCTTACCCGTTTCCCACCCATTTCCCCTGTTCCCTCCCCTTTCCCCCCTACGCCCCCACCCCCGCCCCCCCTTTTCCTCTCTTATTCCCCTCCCCCATACCCCTTCTCCCTTCCCTTCTCCCTTCCCTTCTCCCTTCCCTTCTCCCTTCCCTTCTCCCTTCCCTTCTCCCTTCCCTTCTCCCTTCCCTTCTCCCTTCCCTTCTCCCTTCCCTTCTCCCTTCCCTTCTCCCTTCCCTTCTCCCTTCCCTTCTCCCTTCCCTTCTCCCTTCCCTTCTCCCTTCCCTTCTCCCTTCCCTTCTCCCTTCCCTTCTCCCTTCCCTTCTCCCTTCCCTTCTCCCTTCCCTTCTCCCTTCCCTTCTCCCCCTTCATCCGTCAGGGAGTGACAGTGGTGCAGCGAACGAAGGAGCTGGAGGATCAGCAGGCTAAAAGGTGAGTGCTCCGCTCTCTGCGCCGCTCTCCTCTGCTCCGCTCTCCTCTGGAACGAGACGTGGGCTTAACTGCTTCTACAAACCCTACGAACCTCCTCTTTCCTTCTTTCCCGCACCCACCACTTCCATTCCCCTTCTTCCCTCACCCCAGTCGCGTGTGGAACGAGACTTGGCTTGCATTCTTCTTCTACAAGCCCTGCAACTACGAGCTCTTTGTCCGCCAGTCCCTCAACATGGAGATGGCCATCGTCTTCGCCAGGGTGGGTTACCATGCCTATTGTCTTCGCCAGGGTGGGTTATCATGGTTATTTCTTTAGCCAAGGTGGGTTATCATGTTCATTCCTTTCGCCAAGGTGGGTAACCCTGGATATTTCTTTCGCCAGGGTGTGGTGCGTTACCATGGTCATCATTCCTCACAAATCTCTTCACATGTTGCCTTCACTGCCTCCCCTCCTCTGCTCCATCAGGTGTTGGGCGTGGATTGGATATTCCACGTCGATACGGACGAGCTGCTCTACCCTGCGGGCTCGCCCGACTTGTCACTGTGCTAGTGCCCTCTCTCACAGCACTCCCCGCCGTCTGTTGCACTGCTCCATCAGGTGTTGGGCGTGGATTGGATATTCCACGTGGATACGGACAAGCTGCTCTACCCTGCAGGCAACACAATAGGCCTCGTGCTGTGCTGTGCCCTTCCGCCTGCCCTCCTGCCTCCCCTTCGCTCCCCCCACACTGCTGCCCTCCACTGCACTGCCAGGTGTTGGGCGTGGATTGGATATTCCACGTGGATACAGACGAGCTGCTCTACCCTGCAGGCACGGCTGACTTCTCCCTCCAACGCCTCATCCACGACCTGCCCAGCGACGTGGACCTCATTGTCTTTCCAAACTATGTGAGTGCAGCATGGTGCAGTGCGGTGTGGTGCAGTGCATTGCAGTGCAGTGCGGTGCAGTGCTGTGCATGCTCAACCACCCTCACTACCCCTCCCCGAGGCCGAATTCTCCCTGTACTGTATAATCATTCCCCTGTGTGTGTTTGTGTGTGTGTGTGTGTGTTCGCGCGCGCGCGCATGCGTGGGTGTGTCTATGTGTGTGCATGTGTGCGTGCATGCATGCGTGCCTGCGCGCGCGCGCATGTGTGTGTGTGTGTGCGTGCGCGCACGCGCGTGTATGTGCGTGCGTGCGTGCATGCGTGCGTGCGTGCGTGCGTGCGTGCGTGCGTGTGCGTGTGTGTCAACACAGGAGAGTGTGGTGGAAACAGCTGATGTGGGAGACTCATTCACTGAGGTATTTCACTTTTTTTGGGTGGTAATACTCAATCTATGCATGCTCACCAGTGCACTCTCTCTCTCGCTGGAGCCCTTGCTAAGTATATGCTTATTTTACTTATGTAGGCGACTTTTGAGACGCCTCAAAGGCCGCTGGAGCCCTTGCTAAGTATATGCTGATTTTACTCATGTAAGCGACTTTTGAGGCGCCTTAAAGGTAAAAAACTTTTGAGGCGCCTCAAAAGCCGATGGAGCCCTTTCTAAGTATATGCTTATTTCACTCATGTATGCGAATCGCCCTCCCTCTGTTACAACAGGTTTCGCTGTTCAAGAAGAATTATGACCATGTTACAAGAGAAGCCTACTTCGCACACTACAGGGATGTGAGCCCATACGCTTAAGGCACTTTTGATTGGCACTTGTACCTCGCACACTACAGGGATGTGAGTGCATCCATGCATGCATGCTCTTTTGAGGCGTCTCAAAAGGCACTTGTACCTCGCACACTACAGGGATGTGAGTTCATGCATCCATCCATGCATGCATGCATGCATGCTCTTGCGATCCCAGAGTCTTGAGTCGACTCAAAGCTCACTCGTTACAAGAGAAGCCTACTTTGCGCACTACAGGGATGTGAGTTCATGAGTACTTGATTTTACAATCCCTCACCATGCCTTTTCAAGCTTTGCATATATGTGTGGTATGCGTGCATCCTTATATGGCATTGGCAAGCGGAACGAATCTGTTACCTCTACCGATTCCATCCACCGCTCCTGCTTCTCTGCATATTCCTTCCCTTCCCAATCCTTCGACAACACTCACAGGCAGCACACGGCAACCCCAATTACTTTCTGACCTATGGCAATGGCAAGTCAGGGGCAAAGATGCAGCCTCATTTGAGGCCCAATGGGGCCCACCGCTGGCACAACTATATGAAGGTGCCCAAGTGAGTGCCATGTACCGCCTATGTAGCCCATGCAGCCTTGCATGTAGCTTTACTGCGTCAGTGAATGGGGTTGAGAGTGGTGTAGCCAGGTGCCAAGTCAGGGGCAAAGATGCAGGCTCATTTGAGGCCCAATGGGGCCCATCGATGGCACAACTGTATGAAGGTGCCCAAGTGAGTGAGACTGGTGGGAGTGGAACTATTGTGAACGTTTTTGCTCAAGGCCTGTCATCTGAGTGATCAATTCAAGGTGCTGCGAGTCAGGGGCAAAGATGCAGCCTCATTTGAGGCCCAATGGGGCCCATCGATGGCACAACTATATGAAGGTGCCCAAGTGAGTGCCATGTACCGCCTATGTAGCCCATGTAGCCTTGCATGTAGCTTTACTGCGTCAGTGAATGGGGTTGAGAGTGGTGTAGCCAGGTGCCAAGTCAGGGGCAAAGATGCAGCCTCATTTGAGGCCCAATGGGGCCCATCGATGGCACAACTATATGAAGGTGCCCAAGTGAGTGCCATGTACCGCCTATGTAGCCCATGTAGCCTTGCATGTAGCTTTACTGCGTCAGTGAATGGGGTTGAGAGTGGTGTAGCCAGGTGCCAAGTCAGGGGCAAAGATGCAGGCTCATTTGAGGCCCAATGGGGCCCATCGATGGCACAACTGTATGAAGGTGCCCAAGTGAGTGAGACTGGTGGGAGTGGAACTATTGTGAACGTTTTTGCTCAAGGCCTGTCATCTGAGTGATCAATTCAAGGTGCTGCGAGTCAGGGGCAAAGATGCAGCCTCATTTGAGGCCCAATGGGGCCCATCGATGGCACAACTGTATGAAGGTGCCCAAGTGAGTGAGACTGGTGGGAGTGGAACTATTGTGAACGTTTTTGCTCAAGGCCTGTCATCTGAGTGATCAATTCAAGGTGCTGCGAGTCAGGGGCAAAGATGCAGCCTCATGTGAGGCCCAATGGGGCCCATCGATGGCACAACTGTATGAAGGTGCCCAAGTGAGTGAGACTGGTGGGAGTGGAACTATTGTGAACGTTTTTGCTCAAGGCCTGTCATCTGAGTGATCAATTCAAGGTGCTGCGAGTCAGGGGCAAAGATGCAGGCTCATCTGAGGCCCAATGGGGCCCATCGATGGCACAACTCTATGAAGGTGCCCAAGTGAGTGTGACTGTTGGGAGTGGAACTATTGTGAACGTTGGCAGGTGCAGCCTATTTTTAGGAGCTTCAAAAATCTTTTTTTTGAGGCGCCTCGAGAACCAACTCTCACGTTTCGGTGGGTGCCGCCCAACCTTGTATGATGAGCCCCCTCCCCACTTCCTGTCACACACAGCGAGGTGAAGCTGATGGAGGCGGCAGTGCAGCACTTCACCTACACACACATTTGATTGAAGAAGTGTTTTGAGACGTCTCAAAACACTTCTTCAATCAGGCAGTGCAGCACTTCACCTACACACACATTTCTCTGATCCACGGGTCTCGGCGGGTGCAGCCCCCAGCCTGCTACGAGCCGCCCTGTAACAGCTTGAGGTCAAGGCCCCCTAACCAGTGCACTTCCTCCTGCGCCCCTCCCCACACCTTGTCACCCACAGGGAGGTGAAGCTTATGGAGGCGGCAGTGCTGCACTTCACCTACACCCATTTTTCCGACCTCACGTCTCGGCGGGACCGCTGTGGATGCAAGCCCAATTCAGAGGACGTGAAGAAATGCTTTATGCTCGATTTCGACCGGCTGGTGAGATCTTGTTACGTGGTACATACGTATATAATCCTCGTTTGTGTCCTTCGCATCTGCTGTGGGTGCAAGCCCAATTCAGAGGACGTGAAGAAATGCTTTATGCTCGATTTCGACCGGCTGGTGAGAGCTTTTTATGTGGTATGGATTGACAGCACACATGTGAGCCAAACACACTTGGAACGACTTTTGAGACGTCTCAAAACACATGGAACGTAGTCCTCTGGTGTGCTCTTGCTCGCATGTGCATGTCCCAGATGCGGGTGCAAGAAGGCTCCTAAATGGGTCAAGAAGTCCCAGCTGTGGCCAGGTGCACGCCCAATTGGAAGACGTGAAGAATTGCTTCGTGCTCGCTCGACTTCGACCGTGTGTGAAGGCTGTGACTTTTGAGTCGACTCAAAAGTCTGTTTTGGATGGGATTAGCAAAAGTCTGTTTAGGAGGGGATTTTAAAGAATCTGTTTAGGAGGGGAAATTCCAGGAACCTGTTTAGGAGGGGATTTTCAAGAACTGGTTTTCACCATCGCTCGTTGCTTCTCCTGTCAGATCAACCCCCCTTGTGAAGCCGTTTATCATAGAGACAGAGGAGTAAATTCCCCGATGAACAGGTTTGCAGCTACTCCACGATGAACATTGTTCCCCACCCCTTCTTCACTCGTATCTTGTTCCTACCCCTCTCCCTTCTCCTCTTCTCTCCGTTCCCCCCCCCCCCCCCCCCCCCCCCCCCCCCCCTGTGCAGGCATTTATCATAGCATCCACACAGACAGAGGAGACTTTTGAGTCGACTCAAAAGTCCTCCCCCCCCCCCCCCCCTGTGCAGGCATTTATCGTTGCATCCACACAGACAGAGGAACAGATGTTCCAATGGTAGGCGTATGATGATAAGACTTGCTCCGCATCTGTTAGATTTAGTCCATCACATCTTTGCTGTTACGTCTCTTCTGTCACATCTTTTGTTCCATCTGTTCCCTTCAGTTGACGCCCCTTCAGTTTGATGTCTTCTTTTTCATCTCGTCTGTTTCATCTCTTCCATTCCAATTCTTCTGTTTCATCTCTTATCCTTTCATCTCATTCTTCCTGAATGCTGTGTCACATCTACCTCTTTCCGTTCCACCCAAACTTGCTCTTCAACCTCAGGTATAAGGACCACGTGGTGTGGTCAGACCGTGACATGATAGAGAAGCTGCTTAAAAAGGGGATATTCGGTCGCATCCACACACCCCAGGTATGCTTCCATCGTCTGGACGCCTGTATGCTTTCACACCCTTGCATGGTATTTTCTGAAAGTTCAAAGAAATTCTCTGCTTCCTTACTGTTTGTAGGCAACTCAAAACAGCTCCCTGTTGCCCCTTCCTGACCTTGTCCCCTCTAGAGGCAGCAGCTGATTTTTCCCTTCTCCGCTGCCCCTTCTCCCCACGCGTTAGCCTCACCCTTCTCCCTTCACCCGTCTCTCGCCAGCTGATTCTCCGCAGCATATATGCCACTGGTATCATCAATCGCATCTGGAGGCAGCAGCAGAGAGATGGAAGCGCCGCTCCCAGCAGCAACAGATTTCCCCCTCTCGTCTCTCCCTCTCCCCACCCGTGCATCCCCTTTCAGCTCATTCTTTGCAGCATATACGCCACGGGCATCATCAATCGCACTGTGGAGGCAGCAGCAGAGAGATGGCAGTGCCGCAACCAGCAGCAACAGCAGCAGCACCTCTTCCCCTTCTCATCTCCCCCTTCTATCCACCCGTGCACCCTCGTTCAGCTGATTCTCCGCAGCATATACGCCACAGGCATCATCAATCGCACGCTGGAGGCAGCAGGAGGTGTTTTCTTTCCCCACGCACCCTTCTCTAACTGTCTCCCACCCTTGTTTTCCTTCCAGCTGATTCTCCGCAGTATATGTGCGACCGGCATCATCAACTGCACTCTGAAGGCAGCAGCAGAGAGGTGGAAGCGCCGCACCTAGCAGCAACAGCAAGAGCACTTTTTCCCCTTCTCATCTCTCCCATCTCCCCACCCTTCTTGCATCCCCTTTCAGCTGATTCTCCGCAGCATATACGCCACAGGCATCATCAATCGCACACTGGAGGCAGCAGCAGAGAGGTGGAAACGCCGCACCCAGCAGCAACAGCAGCAGCAGCAGATGCTTCAGCCGCAGCTGATACAGCAGAAGCTGCAGCAGCAGCAGAGGGAGCGTCTGCAGCACCAGCAGCAGCCGCAGCAGCAGCAGCAGGAACAGCTGCAAGAGCATGTGCAGCAGCAAAAGAAGAGTGACGGGCAGGAGCAGGCAGGGACGGGGCATGGGGGAGGGGAGGCAAGTCACGGCGCAGCGCAGGTGCTACAGCAGGCAGTGGAAAAGGAACAGCGGGAGGAGCAGAAACGCCGGCTTGCGCTCGACAAAGTTTCTCACTTTGTTGCCGACAGCGTTCGGGGTGTAGCAGCAGCAGGGCAAGGCCTCTCTAAGTTTGTTAGTAATAATGGCCAGAGACGTTCGGGAGAGGCTGGCACGGGTGCAGGTTCGGCAAGGTTCGGCAGTGGTTTGGGAGGAGCAGGTGTGGGCGGAGGCATGGAAACTGGTGGGAGCGGTGACGGTGTGGCAGCTTCTGCTGGCGGTGCTGGTGGCGCTGGTGGTGGCAGTCGATTGTTCAGAGGAGATGCGCTGGATTCAGCAAGGTTAGCAGAGAGGACTGGTGCAGAGAGGGCTGCAGGCACAGGTGCTGCTGCTGTTGGCGCTGGTACTGGCAGTGCTGGCAATTCTGGCAATGGTGGCAGTTCCGGCAATGCTGGTTCTGGTGCTGCTGACACTGCCACACACACAGGCCCCGACTTGCAGGAGATGCACACACGAGCGATCGCACGAAGGCGACTACTGGCAGCGCAAGAGACACAGCCTACTCTGATAGTGCAAGACTTGGTCTCTGGAGAGGGGGGTCACAGGTATGGAGAGGTGTGGAGTGGTGAAGGGTTTGAAGGGGTGGTGATGGGAGTTGGAGGTCAGTTGGAGGCTGCTGCTGTGCCGCCACTGGCCTGTCCTGCTCCTGACGAATTGTAGCTGTAACACTGTTATCGCATGCTGTTATGGAACGAAACCATTGGAACAGGTATCCCGATGCCAGAACATTTATCTGTTTGTTTTGCCCTTAGCAGTGTTTTTTCTTCTTTCTCTTTTCTTACAGTTCATACGGTAATCCACACTGGACCTTCACACACGCGGAGGACAAGGTACACCTACATCTGATACTCTCCGAGACGAAACCATATTCACATCCAAGTCAAAAACTGCAATGTATACTAGAGCTACTGTTGCGCGACTTCCCTCCCTCAAACCTCTTGACCTTCATACTCTACACCATAGGGTTACCACATGCCATAAAGGGTTACCATATACCATACAATGTCACCACATCCATATCTACCTGCAGCAGAGTTTAAAGCTCAGCAGCAACACCAGCAGTAGACGCTAGTATATCCCTGGATCAGCACAGTAGAAGCCTAGCTTGTGAGGAGGAAGGGCCTGAAGTACACTAATCCCCACTATCACTCTTACACATGTAGCACACCATACCATACCTCTGCCCTGTTTTGAGATATCATGACACTCACTCCCCACCATCATCTGACAACCCAGCCACACTGCACTGCAGCAGCAACAGCAGTGCAATTGGCAGCAGCAGCGGTGGTGCCTGCAAAACGGTGATTTGGCTTAAAACAGTGGCAGAGTGCATTGGGTCATTTCGAGTGTTGCGACATTTCTACACTCTGCCGCCAACGGGCCGAGGCCAACTCTCCTGTAACGATTCTGCCTCCTCCCATCCCATCGCGGAGTCTTGAGATCTCTCAACCTCCACTTTTAGGAACGCTTTGAATCAACTCAGCGATCCGCAGAAGCACCAACTGCAGCCTCACCAACAGAACCGCCAGGCACCGGAAGCACAACCAGCAGCACCACCAGGCACTGGAGGCACAACCAACAGCACAACCAGCAGCACCAGCAGCACCAGCAGCAGCAGCGGCAGCGGCAGCGGCAGCGGCAGCGGCAGCACCCCACCATAAAGCAGAGGACAAAAGGATATCCTCATGTTCCCAGCCAAAGCACTGGCCGGCTTTTTAGGCAGCTTAAAGTCTAGTTTTGAGGCGCCTCAAAACTAAAGCGGAGGACAAAAGGGGATATGCTCATGTTTCCAGACGAAGCACTGGCCAGCTTTTAGGCTGCTTAAAGGGCAGCAGGAGCGCCAGCTGCAACCGCAACACTGCCAGCAGCACCACCAGCAGCACCAGCAGCAGCACCGCCAGCAGCAGCAGCAGCACCGCTTATTTTTGAGTCGACTCAAAAATCGGCTTTTAGGCTGCCTAAAGGGCAGCAGGAGCACCAGCTGCAACCGCAACACTGCCAGCAGCACCGCCAGCAGCAGCAGCAGCACCGCCCCATCTTAAAGCCGAGGACAAGGGGAAGTCCACATGCACCCAGAAGAAGCACCGCCCGGTCTCCCTCGTATACACCACCTCGCCCTTCATACTCTTTAACATCCTCCTTATAAGGCTCAGCGACACGCCCTCTGCGTTGCTCCTTAACGCACCGCTCCCAGTGCTCGTGCCTCCTACACTCATCCCTCCGACACTGCCCCCACCGTCGCTGCTCGCCCGGCCAAAGCTTCTATCGCCAGCAGAAACAGAAGCACTGGCAGCAGTGGGGGTGGTGGCGGTGGTGGTGGTGCCGGTGGCGGTAGAGGTGGTGGCAGCATTGGAGTCAAACATCTGGTTGATGATCTCCTCTGGTAGACCCCGACCCGTGTGGGAGATTCTGAGAATGGGAGGGAGAGAGGGAAAGAAAAAGAAGGTTGTCAACGAAAGTAGGTTGATTCCGACGAAGCTCCTGTCAGCAGCAGGGGTGGCAGCAGAAGCACCATCAGCAGCAGCAGCGGTGTGGGTGGTGGCGGTGGTGGTGGTGCCGGTGGCAGTAGAGGTGGTGGCAGCATTGGAGTCAAACACATCTGGTTGATTATCTCCTCTGGTAGACCCCGGCCCATGTGGGAGATTCTGGGAACGGAAAGGGTGGGGGGGGTGGGGGTAGAGATATTTAGAGAGAGCAGCAGCATTGCAGGGGAAGAAAAGTTTAAGATGGAGAGTTTAAGATGAAGAGTTTAAGATGGAGAGTTTAAGATGGAGAGTCAAACACGTGGTGGACGCGACTCTCTGGTAGACCTCAGCCCGTTTGGGAGATTCTGGGAATGGGAGGGAGGCACATTTAGAATTCTCACCACCAATGAGAAGAAGAAGGAGAATTGAACTTCTTTTGAGTTGTTGTTAACCTTGCACAAAGCCTTTATACCCCAGCTCATAGACAATTTACTACTTACATAACACGCATACCGTACCTTACATTGAGTCCTGTACCTTACGTCGAATCCTGTACCTTATATCGAGTTCTGCCATGGTGGTTGTTCCTCGGAAGAGCCGAGACCCCTTTTGAGTCACCTCCAGCTTCACCAGCCCTGTGGCTTGCGTGTGGCTCACTGCAGCGCACAGCAGCCCTCCCAGGATCTGACAGGCAAAGGCAAAGCGGGGGGAGGTGGACGCAAGCCGCAAACAAGGGTGTGAATGTGAGAAGGCTGGACTGGACTTGGAGGCACCTCCAGCTTCACCAGCCCTGTGGCCTGCCTGCGTGTGACTGACTGCCGCGCCGCACACAGGAGCCCGCCCAAAATCTGAAAGGGAAAAGAGTAAGGGTGTGAAAAAGAGCGTTGGATTGGATTCATCCCAACACGAGAGTGCTTGCTTGCGCCTTGGCGAGTGGCAACCAGGGTGGCCTGGCTGGTGGATGGAGGCTTGGGTTGATGAATGTCCCACCCACCCTGCAGCTTACCCTACCGGCTCGTCCCTCCCTCACCTGCTGCAGCCTTGGAGCATCGCCACACAGCGGCAGCGTCTTGACGTCACTGCCCAGCTTGAGACTGAGCTTGGCGCCCTTGAGCGTGGCCAGCAGCGTGGCCAGCAGCGTGGGCAGCAGTTGGCTCTAAACCACTACCCCTTACCTTACCCTACCACCAGCCTCTATCCCCTTCCCTATTCTCAAATGATGCAATCTCAGAGCATCGCCGCCGCACAGCAGCAGGGTCTTGACATCACTGCCCAGCTCCAGGGTGAGTTTGGCGCCCTTGCACGTGGCCAGCAGAGTGGCCAGAAGTGTGCTCAAGCAAACCCCTTACCTTCCCCTACCACCTGCCTCTACTCCCCTTCCCACTCTCTCACCTTCTGCAGCCTCGGTGCATCCCCGCACAGCGGCAGGCAGCGACATGACGTCACTGCCCAGCTCCAGAGTCAGCTAGGAGCCCTTGCGAGAAGCAAGCAGAGTGGACTGGAGCTTGGGTTAGTGAATTACCCACCCGTCATCTTTACCCTACCGCCTCTCCCTTCCTTCCCACTCTCTCACCTGCTGCAGCCTCGGTGCATCGCCACATAGCGGCAGCATCTTGACGTCACTGCCCAGCTCGAGCGTCAGCTTGGCGCCCTTGCGTGTGGCCAGCAGCGTGGCCTGGCTGATCACTGCGCCACACACCGTCTCCATGGTGAATGGCAGCGTGGCGAGCGGTGCTTGGCTGGGGGAGAAAGAGAAGGGGGGGAGCGAAAGAGATGAAGGAATAGGAACAGGTGTGAGCGGATTGAAGAGAAAGCAGCGTGGCCTGGCTGATCACTGCGCCACAAACCGTCTCCATGGTGAACGGCAGCGTGGCGAGCGGTAAAAGGTAAAAGGAAGAGCTGTGAATGATCCCTAGCCTTCACACTCCCTCACTCACTCCACACCTCGTGCTCACTTCCTCGCTCACTCTACCCCTCGCACTCACTCCCTCACACGGACGCACACACTCACCCTTGTTCAATGGCCAGCATGCCAGTGTTGCTCACAATCTTCCTCACCTGCATCTCCAGGTGTTCCCTGACTCACTTCCTCACTCCCTCATACCCCCTCACACTCACCCCCCCACTCCCTCACACTCACTCCCTCACGCACACCCACACACTCACCCCTGTTCGATGGCGAGCATGTCAGTGTCGCTCACAATCTTCCTCAGCTGCATCTCCAACGCCACGCCCGTGCGCACCCACGGCAGCTGCTTCCCCGAGAACCCCGCCCCCATCTGCTCCATCCGCGCAAATGAGTACGCCAGCCCGTCCAACGGCCCACGGCTCATCTCCCTCACGTACGCCACCTGCCTCGCCTTGTCTGAGGCTAGCTTTTCGGCGGTCTTCTGCCGGTCGACGGCTTGCCGGAGTTCAAGAGAGGCCGTGTGGAGGAAGCAGAAGGCGCCCACCACTGAGTTGCCGTCCGCTGAGTGCCTGGGATGGACAGATAGCAGCAGCTCCATCAGGGTTCTCTGCGGATGGGGGTGGGGAGGTGTGGGGAGGGGTACTGGGCGGTCAAAAGGGTAGCTGACGCTGATCCGGCCATGGCCTGACTCATCACGATCATGGCCTGAGCTTCGCCATAACACCACCCCTCTCCATGCTTCCACGTCCCTTGAATCAACCCTCTACCCTTAACCCACACTCCTATGTTGAAATCACTTTTGAGAATTCTCAAAAGAAATCACTTTGTTGAAATCACTTTTGAGAATTCTCAAAAGTGATTTCAACCTACCCTTAACCCACACTCCTACATGCCTCAACCCACACTCCTACATGCCTCAACCCACACCCTGCCGCCCACCCTCTCAACCCCATGCCCTCACCTGGCGGTTGAGGAAGGAGAAGGGGACTTTCACGGCTTCATGCCCGGCCATGGCCTTGCTGATGACGATCATGAGCTTCGTCATGGCGTCGCCACTCTCCATGCGGCAGAGCGAGCCAAAGACGTCCCCGATGAGCATGCCGGCTATACCACACCACACCACCTTGGTTGGTCAACCCACACCCTGCTGCTCACCCTCTCTCTCTCCCCGACATCCTTACCTGGCGGTTGAGGAAGGAGAAGGGGACCTTGACGGCCTCGTGCCCGGCCATGGCCTTGCTAATCACAATCATGAGCTTCGTCATGGCGTCGCCGCTCTCCATGCGGCAGAGCGAGCCAAAGACGTCCCCTATCAGCATGCGCTCCCACACCTCAAAGCGCGTGAACCCTGTCACTTGTTCCATTGCCGCGTTCCACTCCGTGCACAGCCCAAACTCTGCACACCAAGATGGGGGTGGAGGGGGGAAGGCCGGGGAGAAGAGTAGAGGGGAGAAGGGGTTAGCAAGAGGAGCACAGCACAGGGCTCAACAAGGCGGTGAATGCCGCACTGTGGTGTGCTGGGCTCTCCATGCGGAAGAGCGAGCCAAAGACGTCCCCTATGAGCATGCGCTCCCACACCTCAAAGCGCGTGAACCCCGTCACTCGTTCCATTGCTGCATTCCACTCCGTGCACAGCCCAAACTCTGCTTTCCATGGAGGCGGGGGGGTTAGGGAATGGGAAAAGGGGAAGGGGGAAAGGGGGATATTGAATGAACCCCGTCACCCTCTCCATCTCCGTGCACAGCCCAAACTCTTCCCCAGGGTCCCCCCTGCTGCTGCTGCGCTCACAACCACACCCACACTCACAGCCGCACACACCCCACGCACCAACTCCCCAACCAACTAGAACCACCCACTCACCATCGCAGCCGAAGATGGGGGGGATGAGGGAGCTTTGCGCGTGCACAATGGTTTTATAGTCGCCCTTCCTTCACCTTCCTGAACCGCCCCTCCCCGCCATTCTCCCACTCCCTATCCCACCCACCCCAACCCCAGGGTATTCAATCAGCTCACCATGGCAGCCGAAGATGGGGGGGATGAGGGAGCTGTGCGCGTGCACAATGGCCTCATAGTCGCCCTTGACCTTCCTGAACCGGTCGTTCACCACCCGCTCCACCGTCACGTCCTGCCCCACGAAGCACACCCCCTGCACCTCCTGCTGCTGCTGCTGCTGCTGCTGCTGCTGCTGCTGCTGCTGCTGCTGCTGCTGCTGCTGCTGCTGCGCTCACAGCCACACCCACACTCACACCGCCACACCCGCACGGACCCACTCCCCATTCAAAACAGAACCAGCCATCCCAGCCCCAGGGTAATCCACTCACCATCGCAGCCGAAGATGGGGGGGATGAGGGAGCTGTGTGCGTGCACAATGGCCTCATAATCCCCCTTGACCTTCCTGAACCGGTCGTTCACCGCCCTCTCCACCGTCACGTCCTGCCCCACGAAGCACACCCCCTGCACCTCCTGCTGCGCGTCGCGGCTCACAAACGTGTTGGCCAATAGGATCACAGACGACCCCACGTCAATCCCAAGGGCCTCGGCTCCGGCACCAGCAGTGGTGCTACCAGCTGTCGCAGCGGCAGCGGCGGCACTGCCAGTGCTGGCGCTGCGTGCTGAGGGGCCGGAGAGGCTGCGCTCTGTTCCCCATAAGTGCAAGCGCAGCTGAATGTTGTGGGCCTCACGCCCTGCATGGGAGGGAGTGGGAGGGGGATGGGAAAAGGAGGAAAAAGTTGGTCCTGTCAGTAACCCTGCTCTGAAGGGATTTGCTCTGAAGGGATTTGCTCTGAAGGGATTTGCTCTGAAGGGATTTGCTCTGAAGGGATTTGCTCTGAAGGGATTTGCTCTGAAGGGATTTGCTCTGAAGGGATTTGCTCTGAAGGGATTTGCTCTGAAGGGATTTGCTCTGAAGGGATTTGCTCTGAAGGGATTTGCTCTGAAGGGATTTGCTCTGAAGGGATTTGCTCTGAAGGGATTTGCTCTGAAGGGATTTGCTCTGAAGGGATTTGCTCTGAAGGGATTTGCTCTGAAGGGATTTGCTCTGAAGGGATTTGCTCTGAAGGGATTTGCTCTGAAGGGATTTGCTCTGAAGGGATTTGCTCTGAAGGGATTTGCTCTGAAGGGATTTGCTCTGAAGGGATTTGCTCTGAAGGGATTTGCTCTGAAGGGATTTGCTCTGAAGGGATTTGCTCTGAAGGGATTTGCTCTGAAGGGATTTGCTCTGAAGGGATTTGCTCTGAAGGGATTTGCTCTGAAGGGATTTGCTCTGAAGGGATTTGCTCTGAAGGGATTTGCTCTGAAGGGATTTGCTCTGAAGGGATTTGCTCTGAAGGGATTTGCTCTGAAGGGATTTGCTCTGAAGGGATTTGCTCTGAAGGGATTTGCTCTGAAGGGATTTGCTCTGAAGGGATTTGCTCTGAAGGGATTTGCTCTGAAGGGATTTGCTCTGAAGGGATTTGCTCTGAAGGGATTTGCTCTGAAGGGATTTGCTCTGAAGGGATTTGCTCTGAAGGGATTTGCTCTGAAGGGATTTGCTCTGAAGGGATTTGCTCTGAAGGGATTTGCTCTGAAGGGATTTGCTCTGAAGGGATTTGCTCTGAAGGGATTTGCTCTGAAGGGATTTGCTCTGAAGGGATTTGCTCTGAAGGGATTTGCTCTGAAGGGATCTCCATGAGTGCAGGCGCAGCTGGGAATTGTGTGCCTCGCGCCCTGCAAGAGAAAGGGGGAAGGAGGGAGAGGAAAGAGGGTTAGTTGGTTCTGTCAATGCCCCCAGTGCACGGAGAGGCTGCGCTCTGTTCTGTTCCCCACCACTGCAGGTGCAACTGACTGAAAGTTGTGGGCCTCACGACTCCGGCGAGCGAGATCACCAATGCAAGCGTCAACCAAACTCTTGGAAAATATAATAACAATGAAGGAAAGAAAAAGCGCACGCCCTCCTAGGAAGGCAACGCACCTTGGAAGGCGAGGTCTAGAGCGGCATGAAGCTGCGTCTTGGACTGCACGTCTGCTAGATCGTCCACAAGGGACTTGCCGATGGCAGCCGAGAAAGGCAGCCCTGTGAGCGTCGCCACCTTGTTGTTCCACCCCGTGACTTGAGGTGTCACCCTACCAGAGCTAACCGTGAGGCAAACCTACCCTGAAAGGCGAGGTCAAGGGCAGCATGGAGTTGAGTCTTGGACTGCACGTCTGCTGGATCGTCCACGAGGGATTTCCCGATGGCAGCCGAGAAAGGCAGCCTTGTGCGCGTCGCCACCTTGTTGTTCCACCCCGTGACTTGAGGTGTCACCCTACCAGAGCTAACCGTGATGCAAACCTACCCTGAAAGGCGAGGTCAAGGGCAGCATGGAGTTGAGTCTTGGACTGCACGTCTGCTGGATCGTCCACGAGGGATTTCCCGATGGCAGCCGAGAAGGGCAGCCTTGTGCGCGTCGCCACCTTGTTGTTCCACCCCGTGACTTGAGGTGTCACCCTACCAGAGCTAACCGTGAGGCAAACCTACCCTGAAAGGCGAGGTCAAGGGCAGCATGGAGTTGAGTCTTGGACTGCACGTCTGCTAGATCGTCCACAAGGGACTTGCCGATGGCAGCCGAGAAGGGCAGCCCTGTGAGCGTCGCCACCTTGTTGTTCCACCCTGTGATGCACCCCTCGCGATCAACGGCCAGGATCGGCGCAGACGCCGTCTCGATGAAATGCACGAGCTGATCGAACGTGGCTGCATAGAGCTTGTCGAGCTCCTGGTGGTGTGGTGGTAACAGGGAGAAGGTTGGGGTGTGGTGGAGAGGGGTGGGACGGGGTGATGGAGGACGGGGAGAAGAGGCAGACGCCGTCTCGATGAAATGCACGTGCTGATCGAAGGTCGCTGCATACAGCTTGTCGAGCTCCTGGTGTTGAGGGAGAAGGTGGGATGCGGTGAGGAGGGGTGGGAAGGGGTGAGAAGGCGGCTGCGTACAGCTTGTCGAGCTCCTGGTCTGGTGTTGTTGTGATGGCAGGCCAGGCAGATCCTCCGCCTCCAACAAGCATGCCAAGGTCCATTCTGAGAACAGCATTGTGCGGAATGTTTGTACCGAATGAACCGCATCCACCTGACTTAAACAACAGGGAGCAGAGGGAGAAGAAGGACGGAAACTCACCTCTGGGGAGAGTGCCATCTCGGCAGCAGCGCCCCCGCCTCCTCCCCCGACAGGCACCCCGAGGCGCATCCTGTGAACAGCGTCCCTGAGAATGATCTGCACTGAGTGGATCGCGTCCACCTCCAGGTCCTGCCACGGCGCCGACCGATGCTTCACCACCTCCAGAAACGCCTCAAACGACTGCCGCGGGTTCATCTTCTTGATATCGTCCTTGGGTGCCTTTCCCGGCTTCTGCTTCGCGCCGCTCCAGTGGATCTGCTTCTGCACGTGCGATCTCAGCCACAGGATGAAGTCGGACTCGCCGATCTGGGCCATTGCTACGCCGCAGACGGAGTCCCCGAGGGAGGCTGCATGGGGATAGCCGGCAGCGAGGAGGCTGTCGATGGTGAGTCCGGTGGTGTTGGGGTGGGCCGTTTGGATCCACTCGATGATCGACAGAACCTGGGTGGAGTGCGATGAAGAGGGGTGAAAGGGAGTGACGAGGGATGGGTGAAGTTGCGTGGAGACAGCCAATCTCAGCCACAGGATGAAGTCGGACTCGCCGATCTGGGCCATTGCCACGCCGCAGATGGAGTCCCCGAGGGAGGCTGCATGCGGGTAGCCGGCAGCCAGGAGGCTGTCGATGGTGAGTCCAGTGGTGTTGGGGTGGGCCGTTTGGATCCACTCGATGATTGACAGCACCTGGGAGAACAAGGGCGGAGTGCGGTGGAGAGGGGTGGGGTGCAGCGAAAAAAGGTGGGGTAGGGTGAAGAGTGGCGGAGAAGAGCAAGACAAAGTGGAGGAGGCTGTGTGTGGGGTAGCCAGTGGCGAGCAGGCTGTCGATGGTGAGACCCGTGGTGTTGGGGTGGACCGTTTGGTTTGGATTCACTCAATGATTGACAGCACCTGGGGTGGGTGGGGTTCGGTGACGAGGGGTGGGGTGCGGTACGAAGGGCTGAAGGTGAGTGAAGCAGGGTAGAGGCTGTGTGGGGGTAGAGACTGCGTCTCACACTGACCTGTTCCTTGGTGGGAGCAGTCCCACAGGAGTAGAACTCCCCATCCACCACCAGGGCAGCGCCATCGCATTCCACCAAATCGCGCAGAGAGGGGAGGGCTTCAGGAGGCATGAGGGCGTGGAAGGGCATGGACGGAGGAGGAAGAGATGGGAACTCACCTTGTTCCTGTCTCATTCTCTCTCTCACCTGTTCCTTGGTGGGTGCGGTCCCACAGGAGTAGAACTCCCCATCCACCAGCAGCGCAGCGCCGTCACACTCCACCAAGTCGCGCACCGAGGGGCGGGCGTCGGGAGACATGAGGGCGTGGAAGGGGGCGTTGGCGAGCATCATCTGGCACAGCTGCGTCTGCAGCTGCAGGATCTGCTGCTCCCTCTGCTGCGCCTGCAGCTGCAGCTCCTTGGCTAACTGCAGCGTGAACACCTGGCGGAGTGAAAAGGGGAGAGCAGGAAGGGGGGATGTATGGGAACGGGAAGCTACCCGCTGCAGCTCCTTGGCTAACTGCAGCGTGAACAACTGGCAAAGTGAAACGGGGAGAGCAGGAAAGGAAGGTGCGGGAAGGTTAAGAAGGGGCTTTGAATATGCAGCTCTAACTGTTTGAATATGCTCCTTGGCGAGCTGTTGTGTGAACACCTAGCAGGGTGGTGAACGGGGAGAGGAGGAGGAAGAAAGGTGAGATATCGGGAGGGCGCTGCTAAGATGATGCAGCTGCAGGCTCCTTGGCCAGCTGCAGAGTGAACACCTGGAGGAGTCTTCCAGGCGGAGACGTGTGGTGGCACACAATCAGCCCCTTGTTCCAGAATCAACCAGCTGCAGCAGCAGCAACCGCATCCTCTCAACCCACCTGCATCAAAATCCCCCAACCCACCTCTCAACCCTCTCTCCCCCGGTTCCCTCTCTCCCGTACCTGCATGAGGAAGTCGCAGGCAGAGCGCACAGGGAAGGGCACATAGCGCGGAGACGTGTGGTGGCACACAATCAGCCCCTTGTTCCAGAATCAACCAGCTGCAGCAGCAGCAACCCCATCCTCTCAACCCACCTGCATCAAAATCCCCCAACCCACCTCTCAACCCTCTCTCCCCCGGTTCCCTCTCTCCCCCGGTTCCCTCTCTCCCGTACCTGCATGAGGAAGTCGCAGGCAGAGCGCACAGGGAAGGGCACATAGCGCGGAGACGTGTGGTGGCACACAATCATCCCCCACAGCCGCCTCCCCTTCACCTCATCCAGCGTCGACAACACTCCCCCTGCTCCCCCTGCTCCCCCTGCTCCCCCTGCTCCCCCTGCTTCCCCTCCTCCTCCCCCGTCCTCCCCCTCCGCCCCTCCCCCGCCCGCTCTCCCCCCGATCGCCGCCGGCAACGCCTCCTGGTCCCTCAGAACAATAGAGAGGCAGAGGGACGCGGCAATCCCCATGTTCTGCATGTACTGAGCGTGGCACCCATGCACCGCCCGCAGGGTAGACGTCGACAAACTCACCGGCTGCTTCAAGAACCCTCTCTCCTGCACCACTTTCACCGGCTTCGATTTCGCGTCGCAGATCATGCGGATCCGATTCTTCAGGAATAAAATACGCGATGCCTTGGGAATATCCGTGGAGGGGTAGTGGAGTCCCAGGTAGGATTCCAGGGGGCGTTTCCGGTCCTCTGCTATCACCTCCCCATGCTCGTCCTCGTGAAATTTATACGCCATGACTCTATCGTACCCGGTAAGAAGCCGGATTTCTTCCACCAGCGCCTGGAAGAGTAAATCGAGGCTGCTTCCAGAGGGGATGGCTTGCAGGCGGGAGACAGCGTGGGTGGCGAGCTTGTGGGAGTGGAGAGCTCCCGCACCGTTCACGGCTGGATCGGATGGAAGAATCGGCTCGAGATCAATCAAAATTGTGCCGCGCTTGACCTTGCCAGTAGCAGCAGCAGGCGCGCTGCTTTCCCCAGTGCCGTTCGCAGCAGCGGCGGCAGCAGCAGCGGCGGAGGCGGCGGCAGTGGAGGGAGTAGAGGAGGAGGGGGTGTGGGTTTGGCGGTGCAAAATGGCGTAGAAGGGGCGGCAGGTGAGGGAGGACTGCACGAGCACGGGGTTCATGAGCGCCATGTCCCGCGCTGCCATCGCCTTCTCCAGTGCTGTCACGCTCTCCGGGGTGAACAGCATGCGCGCGTCCGACCCCAGGCCTGCATGGGAGTGGGGAGGGGGGATGGTATGGTATGGGGTGCAGAGGCGGGTGTGGGTTCAGATTTGACTCGAGAATCACCACCAGCACCAGCAGCAGCCACCGCCACCAGCAGCAGCAGTAGCCATAGCAGCAGCAGAAGGGGCGGCAGGTGAGGGAGGACTGCACGAGCACGGGGTTCATGAGCGCCATGTCCCGCGCTGCCATCGCCTTCTCCAGTGCTGTCACGCTCTCCGTGGTGAACAGCATGCGCGCGTCTGACCCCAGGCCTGCATGGGGGTTGGGAGGGGAGCCGGTGCAGTTCAGGATAGAAGTCAACTAAGTTGCTCTCATCGCCTTCTCCAGTGCTGTCACACTCTCCGGGGGTGCGCAGAGGGTGCGGGTGCGGGAGTGGGCAAGGGTGCAGGTGTGTGTGTGTGTGAGGGTGGTGGTGTCTGTGTGCTGCCATCGCCTTCTCCAGTGCTGTCACGCTCTCCGGGGTGAACAGCAGCATGCGCGCGTCCGACCCCAGGCCTGGGAGCGGAAGGGGGGGGAATAAGAGGGGAAGGGGAGAGGACGGGGTAGTGGGGATGGGTACGGGTGTAGGGTTGTGATTCCGCCACTCACACACCCGCCTAGAGCTGGCAGAGCAGCCATGTCAGCAGACGTGCGGGAAGATCCCCCCATGATACTCCCCTTAAAACCTGCCTTGGGACTGCCGATCCCTGTCCCTCCCATTGGAGAATTATGCAAACCCATCGCCCTGGACTGTTTCGCCCACACCCACCTAGTGCCTGCAAAGCAGCCATGTCAGCATCCGCAAGGAGACCTCTTCATGTCATTCCCCTCAATGCACTTGCCCAACCCCCCCTCCCTCCCTGCCCCCTCCCCAAGTCCCCAAGTCTGTGGCAACAACCAGAACACCCACCTAGAGCCTGCTGAGCAGCCATATCCGCAGACGTGCGCGGTGATCTCCCCGATGTTGTCCCCTTGATGCTCACCTTGGGACTGCCGATCCCCGTCCCCTCTGCGGGATCCCCAGTCGTCCCCCCCTTTCCCCCTCGGCAGTCCGCAACCACAACCAGAAACACCCACCTAGAGTCTGCAGAGCAGAAATATCCGCAGACGTGCGGGGAGATCTTCCTGAATTCCCCTTGATGCTTGCCTTGGGACTGCCGATCCCCGTCCCTTCTGTCGGATCCGCAGCTGCCGCCCCGGCGGACGACCGAGACAGCAGCCGTCGGATGGAGAACGATCGTGCGGAGGAGAAGGCAGGAGAGGAGGAGGAGGTGGGACGAGGGACAGAATTCGTGATGTCAACTTCCCCAGGGACAGAGGAGCTGGTAGAGGGATCATTTCCATGCCCAGAAGAAGAAGAGGGGCGTGAGGAGGGAGAGCACGGCTCGTCCAGAGACATACACCCTACTCCCACCCCCACCCCTCCCCCTCCCCCCCCCCTCCGCCTCCGCCGCTTCCCCCGCCCCCTCCTCCCGCTCCCCCGTTGGCCGCGCTGCTGTCGCTGGCCCCCGCGGGGAGGGCGGCGGAGTTTCTGGCGGAGCGGGAGGTGGAGCGCAGGAGCGCGCGGTTGGAGCGGTTGATGGCGCGCATTACCCTGTCCACGAGGAACCCGAGGGGGCCTGAGAGGGGGGGAAAGGGAAAGGGGGCGAAGGGAAGGAAGGAGAGGACAGGGGGAAATTGGATGAGCGGTTGGAGCGGTTGATGGCGCGCATTACCCTGTCCACGAGGAACCCGAGGGGGCCTGAGAGGGGGGGAAAGGGAAAGGGGCGGAAGGGAAGGAAGGAGAGGACAGGGGGAGGTTGGATGAGCGGTTGGAGCGGCTGATGGCGCGCATTACCCTGTCCACGAGGAACCCGAGGGGGCCTGGTGGGGGGGACGGAAGGAGTGGGTGGAGGGAGGAGGATATGTGGGGGGAAGGGAAAGAGTGTGTAAATAAGGGAGTGTGTAAATAAGGGAGTGTGTAAATAAGGGAGTGTGTAAATAAGGGAGTGTGTAAATAAGGGAGTGTGTAAATAAGGGAGTGTGTAAATAAGGGAGTGTGTAAATAAGGGAGTGTGTAAATAAGGGAGTGTGTAAATAAGGGAGTGTGTAAATAAGGGAGTGTGTAAATAAGGGAGTGTGTAAATAAGGGAGTGTGTAAATAAGGGAGTGTGTAAATAAGGGAGTGTGTAAATAAGGGAGTGTGTAAATAAGGGAGTGTGTAAATAAGGGAGTGTGTAAATAAGGGAGTGTGTAAATAAGGGAGTGTGTAAATAAGGGAGTGTGTAAATAAGGGAGTGTGTAAATAAGGGAGTGTGAAAATAAGGGAGTGTGTAAATAAGGGAGTGTGTAAATAAGGGAGTGTGTAAATAAGGGAGTGTGTAAATAAGGGAGTGTGTAAATAAGGGAGTGTGTGAATAAGGGAGTGTGTAAATAAGGGAGTGTGTAAATAAGGGCGTGTGTGAATAAGGGAGTGTGTGAATAAGGGGAAGACGATGATTTCTTTTGAGATGTCTCAAAAGTAAATAAGGGGTTGGTTTTTGAGAATTCTCAAAAACCAAAAGGGGGATATGATGATTTCTGAGCGGTTGATGGCGCGCATTACGCGGTCCCGAGAAACACCAAACACTAGGGGATGGAGGGAGGGGGGGCGGAGGAGGGTGGGGGGAAAGGGGAGAAGGGGAGAAAAGGGGGGAGGGGAGATTGTATGTGGGAGAGGTGAAGCAGCAGTTGGAGCGGTTGATAGCGCTCATTGCCCGATCCACGAGGGACCCGAGGAGGCCTTTGGGGGGGGGGGAGGGGGAAGAAGGGGAAGAGTGGGGGATGGGGGGAACTGTAGGGGGAACGGTACAGGGGCTAGGCGCGGGTGGGTGGTTGATTGCGCGCATCACTCGGTCAGTCCACGCGAAGCGGAGGAAGCGTGGCGGAGAGAAGGCGTTGGGCAAAGGGGGATGCGGCGACTGATGACTGGGGGAGGAACACAGAGGATTGCGCCGGTGTTTTGAGACGTCTTAAAGCACTACTTCTTTCACGAGGCGCTGCGGAAAGGGGGACGCGGGGACTGATGACTGGGGGAGGAACGCAGAGGGTGGTGCCGGAGGAGCGGTTAATTGCGGTACACCCTTTTTCACGTAGAGAAACTGGAAATTGGTTACTTTTAACCACCGGCAGATTCTAAAAACTGGCTGATCCCGGAAACTGGAGTATTGGTCGAAAGAGGGGTTTGCGGAAGCTTCAAGACAATGCAAATGGGGTGAAGCAGGGATACAAGCAGGTTGAAATTTAAATTTACGGTGTGGGAAGTAGGACGTGGAGGGGGTATCGATACACCGTATGTTGGGTGAAGGAGGGAAAGCTAAAATCGGAATTAACCGGCCAATACGGGAAGTAGGATGTCGAGGGAGCTTTGGGAGGCCATAGCGAAGTGGACGAAACGTTCGCTCGCACGTTACCAGAGCATTCCAAACCATAGCGGTATACTATCGTTACTACACTCACCTCCTCGTATACTATCGTTCGTTCGTACGTACGCACGTACCGGCGGTGGTCTTTTGGGGAAGGCATAGCACTTCAGGTACATTGTCACTGTACGCCAAGAGACGAAACGTCCCTTCCTCCACCAATAGGACGCAGCCGAACGACTGAATCATCCCGCCGCGTTCCATCTTGACCAAGAAGCTGCTCACGTCCTTGTCCACCTCCTCCATTGCTGCTCCTGCGCCTGAACCTCCTGCTTTGGACTTTCCGCTCTTGCTCTTCTCCTTTCCCGACCCAGACCGTTCCTGCGTCTCCATTCGAAAATCGGCTGCTTCTAAGAAATGACAGGAAGTGTAAAGGTTAGTTGGTGGTCCGTGGTTGACGGATACAGTCCCTGTCTAAGGCTTATGCTGGAGCACGCATGATAACCTGTTCGCAGCTATTAAAGGAGACGACGACACCAGGACATCAGGGTGTGAGACTCCCAAGTTTTATCATTACAATTTGGCGTAATCTACTCTCCATGAGCGATGCTTCGCTTTTCGTCCAGAAACGCAAACCTTAGTGAAACCTGTGACGAGAAGAAATGGCTTGGGAACGTCAAACGCCTGCCTTCTTTTAGATTACGAAATTGAGTGGACTTCTAACGCATAACTTATAACGCCCTTCGTTGGGTCTTCCACGCCATGGAACGCCATGTTGCACGGAAAATGTACCGGTGAGACTAATACGATTACTGGAAACACGCGCGTAGCACATACACAGCCGTGAACAGTTCATCGCATTTGAAGGCCTTGTCAAAGGCAAGAACGAACCGCGTTCCACGGTAGAGAGGCCTTGCGAAAATAGCCTCCTTTCCTAAGACTGGTCTTAGGACACATCAAGGCGAGCCTAAGTGGCTTTTTGCAATCCAGGCCAGAGCAACAACACACTCAACTTCGGTTGGGTCACTTGCGTTCCGTTGCATTGCAACTCGACTCGACACTTCAGGTCGAAAAGGCAAATCGGATCCCCTTTGGATAAAATGCTGTCACTCGTACGTTTGAGGAAATCGAAATTGCTGCTCAGACCAAGCTCTTTTGCAGGGTTGCATTTCTTAAGAGGTATTCCTCTCTGAAAACGGGTGTTGCTCTTTACTGAGTTTGGATCTAGTGGTTCACAACTGGACACACGCACCCACCATGCCCAAAAATACTTTCGGAGAGAAGTATGAGTTGCAATGAGAAGGCGTAGGTGATCTGGTCGTTTGTGAAGTCTAATCCACTGAGTGTGGGAATGAAGTATGGCTGGTCCACTGGAGTTTGGGACGCTAAACGTCAGCTGTAAAAATGTGTGTACATGGATGTGGGTCTGAGCTACCATACCTATACACCCAATATTTTCAACCCGCCACCCAGGTCCTTTGTCCACGGTGCTGTCGAGCCGTCTGTATTGACGGTTTGCGCTGCCCGCCATGGGAAAACTCCACTGTGACGTCAAAGAGAAGGTTCCATAAAAGGCAGAAATATATGTGCGCGATTGCTGTCGTCATCAGCCTCGGTGTCAGCGAGTGCACGACGAATACGATTTGGACACGGCATGGTTTGCCGAGAGTTGTGCCGTCAACCGTACGAGGGTGCACGTAGCTCCAAATCAAGTCGCCTCTTTCCCTGACGCGCCGCGCAGCCCCCAACCACAAGCGTCATAAGAACCACACCACGAAAACTCCTTGGGGCCAAACCAGAGAAAATCCATACCGAACCTCAGACGAATTAGGCAGCCACTAGCCGGTTTGCGAAGATTTCCTTGTTTTGGGAGGACCAGTAAGCAGGAAGCACATCGATAACGGGAACCAAACACTGACGTGGCTAACATAGCCATCCCATTATGACGGTTAGAACGTCCACTGTTACTTCATCCAGTTAAACACAGAACTCTTTAGACATGGCTTATCTACATTTTTATGCTATACTTGGAACTTATACATTATTATGTCAAGCATTGCCCTGTTGCCTCCTTCAGAAAGGTAATCTGCACCAGCCCTGCTTACTTGCATTCCAACAAAACCACGTCTTAAGCATTTGTGTACAAGTGACCCGTGGAGAACTAGCAAGTAAAGTGGCAAGAATAGGACGCTACACAAAATAACCCACTGTTGAAGATAGGTCATTGATAACCTGCACTCAGAAAGAAAGCACATATACCATCAGCACAAAAAAGGTGGAAAACTCAAAATACAAAATCACTTACCCATGCTATAACTCTAGTCGCTATGCAAGTAAAGACCTCCTAATAGCTGTATAATGTACCACCTTACATTAGCTACAACCTCTTCCCATACTGGCGACCTCTCTTGCCATCAACCCTCTCCCATCACGCCGCTCATGTTCACCCACATTACTCACCTCCAGCTGCTCCGCACTGAATGCCACTTTGTGCATGTGCCAGCTGTCAGCGTGCGCAGCACTTGAACACACCCCCATAGATTACCTCCACCACCCACCTCCAGCTGTTCCGCACCGAACGCCTCTTTGTGGATGTGCCAGCTGTCGGCGTGCGTGCACAGCACTTGAACACACCCCCTGTCGTCACCTCCACCACTCACCTCTAGTTGCTCCGCACTAAATGCCTCTTTGTGGATGTGCCAGCTGTCCGCGCGCACCTCTCACGTGCGCGCACAGCGCACAGCACCTGATCAGCCCCCCAGTCACCCTACCCTCATCCATCACACACCTCCAGCTGCTCCGCACTGAATGCCTCCTTGTGGATGTGCCAACTGTCAGCGTGCGCAGCACTTGAACACACCCCCATAAATCACCTCCACCACCCACCTCCACCACTCACCTCCATCACTCACCTCCACCACTCACCTCCATCACACACCTCCAGCTGCTCCGCACTGAACGCCTCCTTCTGGATGTGCCAACTGTCGGCGTGCGTGCGCTTGAAGTCCCGCGGGGCCTTCCCCACTACTCATATTGCTGCCTTCCCCACTAGTCCCGCAGGGCCTACCCCCCCCCGCTCACCACTCACCTCCAGCTGCTCCGCACTGAACGCCTCCTTGTGGATGTGCCAGCTGTCAGCGTGCAGGCGCAGCCCTTGAATAGCCCTTGTCCCACGCTACCCACATCCCTACTCACTCCCACCTGCGCCCTACTCACCTCCAGTTGCTCAGAACTGAACGCCTCTTTATGGATGTGCCAGCTGTCTGCGTGTGTGCGCTTGAAGTCTCCCAGGGCCTTCCCCACCGCAGGGCCAACTGGGGCAGGCTCTCCTGCCAGGCTGGCGAGCGACAGCAGCACGTCTGGTAACCACCTGCATGGATACAGATGGTACGTACATGAAGGGGAGAGGAAAGGGACAGGAGTTGGGCACACACCCACTCAGGCAGGCAGCACGTCTGGTAACCACCTGGGTAGAAACAAATATTGGGGAAACGGGAATTTAGAAGAGGGCTGTCAGTTACACGCCCAACTGAGGCAGGTTCTCCTCTTCTGCCAGGCTGGCCAAAAAGAGAGCAGGAGGTCTGCATGGATCCACATGCCGATCTCAACTCTCGATTTCCACTTTGATTTATCAACGCATGACATCATGTCACAGTCACTTTTGCACATATGTGTGCACTGAACGGTGCGCGCTTCCGCTCCACTATTGAATCAGCACTTACAGTGGAACATCGTACGGTGCTGATCGCACGGCAGCTGCAAGCCCAAGTGCCGATCCATGCATCTTGACCGTCCGTGTTGCCGCCTTTGCTGCTGAGTCAGCATCCAACGACTTTCCGCCATTGGCACGCCTGCGGGCGGCTCTCGAGGCCTTCAGTGTGGATGCAGCTGATTGGATGAAGCTTTGGCGAATGGCAGCTGGCCACGTGTCACCCTGAGGGGCTGCTTTGAAAAGGCCCGCCAGCGTGGCAGATGACATGTCACGCACCTACAACAGGCAGAGGGGGGCGCGGGGGGGGGGGGGGGGAAGGGGAGGGGATGAGAGGGGGAGTGGAAGGAAGGAAGGAAGGAAGGAAGGAAGGAAGGAAGGAAGGAGGAAGGGAGGGAGGGAGGGAGGGAGGGAGGGAGGGAGGGAGGGAGGGAGGGAGGGAGGAGGGAGGGAGGGAGGAGGGAGGGAGGAGGGAGGGAGGGAGGAGGAAGGAAGGAAGGAAGGAAGGAAGGAAGGAAGGAAGGAAGGAAGGAAGGGAGGAGGAAGGAAGGAAGGAAGGGGGGAGGAAGGAAGGGGAAGATAATGGATGAGCAGAAGCAGAAAGCAACAAAGACATGGGGACAAGGAACAAAAAAAGTACGAATGAACGATGGCGGACAGAGCAGAGCAGCGGTAGCGAGGGGTTAGAGTGGGAAAAAAAGAGGAAAGAGAGGGTGTGCTGTGCAGAGCCAATTCTGTTGCCGGGGATTATTATGGCTCGCACACAGTGATGGCATGTGAGGCGCCTCAAACGCACGTGCTGATGGCTCGTGACAAGATCACCACAGTGACCGCGTGTTAGTTCACCCCATCTACAGTGTCAGGGTTCATGTCTCTTTACCTCTGGCTGTGGGTCTTGCAGGCAGGTAATGACAGCTTCACGAAGAGATGAGAGGTCGGCGAGTGAGAGAAGAACTTCTAAGTTGACTCAAAAGCTATCTGTGTTCCTCTGAGTGCTTGTACGGCGTGTGAGGGTTCAAGGGTGTTTACCTCTGGCTGTGGGTCTTGCAAGCAGGTAATGCCAGCTTCACGAAGAGATGAGAGGTCGGCGAGTGAGAGAAGAACTTCTAAGTTGACTCAAAAGCTATCTGTGTTCCTCTGGGTGCTTGTACGGCGTGTAGGGTTCAAGGGTGTTTACCTCTGGCTGTGGGTCTTGCAAGCAGGTAATGACAGCTTCACGAAGAGATGAGAGGTCGGTGGGTGAGAGAAGGAAGCCATTGCTGCAAACAAGGGACGGAGATGGAAAGTTCTTTAAGCGGCTCGAAATCTGGCAGGCATGTATATAGGGCTCGACAAAGAGATGAGAGGCCAACGGAGGAAAGACGGAAGTCATTGTTAGAGGGGTGGGATGGAGATGGGTGTGGTGGTAAGAATGAAAACTTCTTAACATGCTTGTGCAAGCATGCAGTTTTTTTTTTTTTTTTTTTATATATATATATAACGGGGGTGGGGGGGGTGTGGGGGGCGGGAGTGGAGGGGCCTTGTTTCTGTATGCATGTGTGCAAGTGCAAGCATTTTGCGTGTGTGTGTGCATGTGGCACATCAACTCACCGGAAGACAAAGCTTTGGCAGAACGACAGCGCAGCAGCTCTCTCCTTCCAGTTGCTTGACTGTGCTGCTGCCTGCACCGCTGCTGCTGCTGCTGGCACGGCGGTTGCAGGGAGGGGCAGGTACTTGGTGTAGGCGAGGCATTGCTTGGCGAGGAGAGAGAGGTCCGTGTTGGGGGTTTCCTGTAGTTTGGTAGGGGAAGAGATACATAAAATAACTGCGAATGAAGGAAAAATAGGTTGCAGGGACGGGCAGGTACTTGGTGTGTGCCAGGCATTGCTTGGCAAGGAGAGAAAGGTCCGTGTTGGGGGGTTTCTGAAAAACAGGACGATGAGGATTTTGAGAGGCAGAGCAGGCAGAGGGAAGCGTCAAGACCAAATATGGTGGTTGCAGGGGGTGGTGGCAGGCAGGTACTTGGTGTAGGAAGGAATTGCTTGGCTAGTAATAAGAAAGAGGTCCGTGTTGGAGGTTTCCTGAGAATAAGGATGCCGAGGACAAGGGAGGATTGGCAGAAAGAAGGGAACGGGAGTCAGCTCATGTGGGGAGTGGGCTGAACATCCAGCGACCTACAGACTATATGAACCAAGGGAATGAGGGGAAAACTTCAAGCACACCTCAATGGAGAGCAGAGGTGGCAGCAGGGCAACAATGGTTGGGAGGAACGGAGGGGCGTCTCCGGATTCGACCGCAGATATGAGGAAATAGAGGACCTGGGGGAGGGGAAAGGAAGGTTGGGAGGGGGTTGGGAGGAGTTCGGAGGTTGCAAAGGTCCTATCCTTTGCAGGATATCAAACGATACGTGAAGTGAGAAAAATCAAATCCAAGCATGTGGATTTTGTGAAGGGAAGCTCTTACAGATTCTATCGTCCACACGCTCCTGTCCTCTCACTGTTGTCCTCCTGCTGCTGTGAAGTGAAACAGTATGTGTGGAGGCGCCTAAGGAATAATCCAAAAACAAAGAATGTGCTACGGAAAGCACTCAAAGCACTTACAGATTCCATCGTCCACACGCTCCTGTCCTCATCAGATCCCTCCCGCCCTGCTCCGCTGCTCCCCTCATCCTTCTCCTTCCCTTGCACCCCTCCATCTCCTCCTCTTGCACCTTCGAACCCTCCTTTGTCTCTTTCTGCTGCTCGGTACTGCTTCCCATGGACTTGATCACTGTAACAGCTTTGGCAGCTTCTGCCAAGATATGATTCGACAGGCTGGCAGCAACAGCGGCAGAAGCAGCGGGAGGAGGAAGAGGACGAAAGCAGCAGACCTAGTGCTGAGTGCAGCCAGAAGAGCAGATAGCACCTCCCCCAGAAGCTGACGAACCTGCCTCGCACTATGCGTCATCAGCACCTTTGCTCCCTCTGCCAATTGCACAAGGAACTTCAGCTCCTCCTCATCCTCCTCCTCCTGTCCCTCGATACTCTGAGCCTTCCTCCCCTTGCCCCATCTCCCCTACCGCACCACCAGCAGCATCAGCCGTTTTGCCTGCTGACCCGAGGCCGCATTTCCTGGAAGCTTCTCCAAAAGCTTCTCCCGCACGCGCCGCTGAATCCTGCCCCTCACTCCCCCTCCCCTTTCTCCTCCCCCCTGTGATTCCCCTACCCCAACTTCCCTACTCCCATCCTGTCTCCTCCTAGTTAAGACGTATCGCACGCACGTAGCCCCTCAAGTTGAGATTCCACCGAGCAATGCAGAATGGCTTGATGGAAAAAGACGAGCCAGCCAACCAGGAGCAGGAGGATTCAGGGATTCCGAACCAAGAGGAGCCTCTGATTTTGCCCCGGCCCGAACCTCGGGCTCCAGCTCGGCGCACCAGGCGTGCAGCACAGCGGGGTGTGCCGTGGCGAGGAGGCCGGCAATTATCTCTGCTGTGCGCTCTGTGCTCCCCTGTCGGTCTCCTTGGAGACCAGGTCTTGCAGACATAGGTGGAGTGCGTGCAGGAAGACTGTCACTGCTGCTGTGTTGTCAGATGCGCTTCCAGAGATGGTGGCAGGTGC